TAGTAAATATAATTTTGATGGAATATGATATACTACTGTCCGTGGACACCACAAAGTCAACTAGTCCAAATGGTATTGGAAATAAAGTACTTTAAAACACAGCTTACAGTTTATCCCCAATCCTTACAAATTACAGATCGGTTGCGCTCACAAGTTGTTAAGCAAAGAAAATGAAAAATGTATATTTAAACATGTCTATTACTATTTAAGGAATAATAATGTGCTCACTAACCTACAATCTGGATTCACGCAGGGTGACTCCACCTCAAATCAGTTGACATATTTATATGACTTTATTGCAAAGGCTTCAGATGAAGGCTGTGTTTTGTGACATAACTAAAACTTTTGATAAAGTCTGGCACAAAGATCAATTTATAAGATACAACATTATGAAATCCGTGGAAATGTATTGAGATGGTGTGATAGTTACTTAGAAAATCGATATCTAAAGGTAGTTATAAATGGCTCTAACTCGGATCCAAAAGCTGTCTTGGCAGGTGTGCCACAGGGCTCGGTCCTGGGACCATTATTGTTTATTATATATATCAATGACATTGTTGAAGGAATAAAAGTAATATGTAATACATCTTTCTATGTCATCATAGAAGATCCTGATATAGCTGCTCGTAATCTCAATAATGACTGAGGCAGAATTTCAGAATGGGCTGCTAGTTGGCAAGTTAAATTTAGTCCCGAAAAAACTGAATCTATTCAATATACCCGTAAAGTAAATCCTAGTCGCAAACCAAACTCATATATGAATGGTACAGAAATCAAAGATGTACAAAGTCAAAAGCACCTAGTTATTACTTTACAAAGTAACTGTACATGGAAAATGCACATTGATATCATTCATATGCATTCTCACGCGCTTCATTATCGATTTGGGATTCCAGAGACGCTTATTACTGACTTATTACTGAATTCTGCAATATGTTTAATGAGCTGAGGGGTCGTTTTGGAATAGATAACAAGATAACATCCCCGTACCATCCACAGACAGGGGGCCTAACTGAACGATACAACAAAACGCTATGTAATAGCCTTGTAAAGTACACAAATGAAGCGCAAAGTAACTTGGACATGCATCTTCCTCAGGTGCTATTTGGGTACAGGACATCAACCAAGAATGAAACCTGTTGAGTTGGATATACCAGTGGATCTGTAGAAGCTGATGATGTCAGTGCATTAGAAAGCAGAATAAGTTCATTCGTTGCCTTAGCTGATAGCCGCTCCACTGCAGCATGGAACATATCAACTGCTGAGAAAACCCAGAAAGAACACTATGATTCTCCGTCTTGTAAGGTATCTTACCAGAAGGATGATAAAGTGTTGCTGTTCAATTCCAGGAAACATTCTAGGAAAGAATAAACTGAAAACTCGCTGGTCTGGTCCGTTCATTGTAACAGATGTACTTAACAAAGGGACGTATCGTCTTCGTGAAAAGAAGACAATAATCAATGGTTCCAATCTGAAACTGTACAAAGAATCGGAAGTAGCAGAGGACAATTCAACTACAGCGGAAAGGAGCAAACTCATCACCTCGGAATCACGCCAGACTACAAAAATGCAACCAAAACTCCCATTCAAGATAAGGAAGTTGTCATCAGAACCGTTTGAGGGTGATATATTCAGCAAGTTTGTTAGGCCAGGGAGCCTACTGATACACAAAGCTCTCCGCATGTCCATACCATAACGTCTAGTGCATCTGCAAAACCCAATCGGGTCGACTGCGGTCCGGACCCCCTTTTTTATTATCCAGTGTGTCCAAGGTGTGAACAGCTTACTACATATTTTAAAATTGACCGAGTAGAGATGGATTGTGTGTAATATGTATATTTCTTTCATATAAATATGCATCCATTCACAAAATTGCAAACGGAGTTGTTGTAACAGAAATGTCCATTGTGTCCGAGAAGTGCACACCTAAAAATTGACCGGTTTGAGATGGTTTGTGCGTAACATGTATCTTTCTTTCATAAATATCCATTCAATTACAATATTGTAAACGATGTTGTAGTTACTTGAATTGGCATCCAAGTGAATTGTAAGGCAGTACCTTTCACTGACAGAGCATTCAATCCATCATCAACAATCATGAAAATCGTATCCGCCCCGACACGCGGGGATACGATTATATAACATGATTGTTGATGATGCCATCAATAAAACAGTCGGTCTATCTGTCTTGTTGTACGTGGATACCAAGTGATAAAACATGACATATGCGACTGGGTAGGTCGGCATTGATGTCCTGCACAAGCACCTGGTGTTCACATTATATGCAGTGAAAAATACAATGATAGGCTTGTCGAGGTTTTTAAAATAGTTTTCAAAATTATCTGTTATAAAAATCATTTGTTTATAAACACCAGGTGCCTGTGATGTGCTGCCTCGGTTATTCAATGACGGGCCAGAAACGAAGGGGAATTTACCACACCACATATAGATTCACCTGCAATCAAGTCCTTATATCAGGATAACGAAGTAGGACACTGTTGTAAACCACAGTGTAATATTGTACCCCACCCTCGCAGAATATAAAATGAGTACCCGCCACGTACAGAGTTCCGCCGCCCTGGCGAAATTTGAACTTGGGATATGTTAAAGTTTTGATCAGAGCCACTGTGCTGGTTTAAATCAAATTTGGGTCCAAATACTATGGGGATCTAATTATTTTACGCGAGGGGGTCCAATAGCCACAGACGAGCCATAGTAGGGGCGTGGGGAGGGGCGTGGGGGGGTGAGGGGCGTGGGGGGGGGGGGGGGGGGGTGCGGGGAGGGATACAAATACTATGGGCGTCCAAATATTTCTTTACACCGGCTCATTCGCCCTCAACCACCAGAATCCCTTCCTCTGCCGACAGAGGGTCGCGGCGGGCGGCAAACAGGCTGCCCAATTCAGTCGCCTTTTACGACCAGCAATGGGGAGCAGAGGACGCATTCTTGTTTATCTTCCCCGGGTCCTCACGGGGATTACTCAACTACGAAAGCCTATTAGGGCCAAATCCATTGATAACATTTTTTATTTAAAAGTTGTAAAGGTGTATTACAAGTTTCTCAAGGTGTAATTACAAGTTTAAAAAGTTGTTATTACAAGTTTAACCATTGAACTGCTTATAAATTCAGAATAAGGGGTAAATGAACATATCTTGGAGGGAGGACGTCTGTCCCAAACGGCATCAAGAAACATAAATAGAAAAGTTAACTTGTATTATGATTTGGGGCTTGCACCAACAGAAATATTGTGCTTTCTGGCATTAGCAGACACTGTTGTTATCAATTGGTCAGTTACAGACTTTTCAATGCCCAATTCATCTAAAAACATCCAAAATTTATTGTCCTCGTCCATACTACTACGTCTTTCCTTCAGGCAATACAGAACTTCAAATGTTTCGATCATTCAGTGAAATTTCACATTTCTAACTCCTTATTACACCTTTCAAAACTTGTTATTTCCATTTCTAAACGTGTAATTACGCCCCAATTCTAGTTATTACACCTTTAAAAACTTGTATTTTCATCTTTTAAACTTGAAATTACACCTTAAAAACATGTAACTACAACTTTTTATAAGTCGTAATTACACCTTTATAACTTGTAATTACACCTTTATAACTTGTAATTACACCTTTATAACTTGTAATTACACCTTTATAACTTGTAAATACACCTTTACAACTTGTAATTACAACTTTTAAATAAAAAATGTTATCAATGAATTTGGCCCTAATAGGCTTTCGTACTCAACAGACGTACATGTAAATCAAAAGTAACTGCTGAGCGGTGTCAGACAATGAGTGAACGGTTTTTGTGTGCCAATTGTGTGATTGGTGGGTATTACCGGTGAGCACAGACATGTTAACCTTTTTCCCGAAAACCTGTTATCATCACTGATTTTCAGTGATCCATTCATAATGATTTAACGTCGATTTTGTGTTTTACGCAAAATGCAATATGTTTCGGCTGATAATGGAAACGAAAACATTTTACATATTTGGTTTTAAATCTGTCCATATGCTTGTTTGGATTTTGGTGATTTTATTTCAGCTTCAAACCATGCAGTTTGGGGAGAATGCAGTAGATATCCCATTTTAGTGTCGTATACACACGCTGTATTTATTATTGGTGTAAACTCATCACAAATTCCTTACTGACGCGATCCTAAAATGAGTTATATGTTAAACGAGTTGACAACTTATGGTAATATAAATTTGGTTTCTAAGATAAAGCTACGTTTATATCGATTTGGTTTTAGTTTTATTTGTGAATGGAAGCTAATCTTGTTAATCTAGCTGTATTTTGTTATCATGCTATGAAAAATATGCATGATTTGTTATCTGCTGTCTAACCATTTTCTACTGGTGGACCCGAGCTGTACCATGGGCCTCGGTCCTATATTATACATGAAGACATTCGGTTCGGTTTACCTTGACACGTTATGTTTACAGACTTTGGAGTGGTACATAGTGATTCTTGTCCAGACACAGCACATGTGTAGGTCTTCCCACTTGCATCACTTATTGTTTGTTGTAGCCTGCCATCTGTAGCAGTGGAAGCGATTACTGTGCTTCCGTCCTACAAAAATATGGGTAATAATAAGTCACAAATTTATTTGAAGTATTCAATTATCAAACTAGCAAAGATATATTGCACAAATATCATAAATTGTAAACTATACCAACCCTTAATTCCAATGTGATAGGTGGAATTCCATGATCGTCCAGAGAACATGTAATCATATGATCGGAACCACTCATAACGCATGCAATGTCCAGTTTAATCGATCTGGATGCTGAAACAAGTAAATGACAGGAGAGAAAATGCTGATAGATATATTGTAAGTCAATTATTTGATACGTGAACCATCGTAATCAAGTAAAAATACGTTCTATTCTTAAAAAACTTGAACTTCATAACATTCGCCCCGGGTGAGGAACAAAATGAGATGGTGGATGTGTGGAGAAAAATTAATTGTTAAAAAGGCAGTTGTATAACGGTCAATCTGAATAACATCAAACATCCATAATATACCAACATATCATATCAATACTTCATCACAGATAAAAGGATACCTTTTTAGTATTCACATTCAATCACCATACATATTTTTGTTTGTTGATGTGTTGTTAAAAGTCGCACTCAGTTTATCTTTATGACGGTGGTCCGTAAATAATCGAGTCTGGACCAAACCATCCTGGAATTTAAATCACGAGCATACCGGATTCGATGACATGATTCTACGAGGTCAGCGAGACTGACAACCTGATCCCGTTGGTCGCTTCTTACGACAAGCATGGGTTGCTGAAGACCAAGTCTAATCCAGATCTTTCCTGAGATGCAGTACCAGAAGTTGAAATATACTCATCCCTGATGCTCAAGCTGATTGGCGTAAAAACAAATACTTGCGGGTAGTTAGTATTGTCTACAAAGGACTGCACGATACCGTACTATATATAGACTCTACACTAGTATATCATTTCGGTTTTTTAGAGTTTATTATTAAGAGGTCAACATCAAACATCGAAAACCACAATAATACGAAAACGTTTTACATTCGAGAAGTCTGCGATGAACTTGTTGATCAACTATATGTCATTGTTATAGGATGCTATGTGTCAATGAAGAATGTATGTAGTCACATCATGCATCTCAAGTTAATGTGGTTGCACATAGTAAAGACATGAAGGAACAATCGTTGCTAACTCTCTCACCAATTGCATTTAGGTTACATGACTTTCGTTGATCAGTACCATCGACACATTCCCAACTTCCTCCATCAGTAGCAAAATCGAAAGAGGTGATCGTAAGCTTGGCCGTCGAAAGAGTCGGATATGTCCCGGTGGCATAGTTAGTCATGCTGGACAAACACACTCCAGCCTTGGTACATGTTAGCACCTGAGTGATGTTTTTTTCCCATATGATCCCTGTTGTTATGTTCCCTGACAAGGTGCAGGTCAAGGTGTAACTTCTACCGGCAGTGGCTGAACATATGTCTCCACAATAAATACTTGATACTGGAAGTTCAAAGAAGTATTGCTGGTCATACCTGACTATAACATCAATAATAAAGTCTTTAAAAGAGAAACACATAAGGAAGAAAATCTATGGATGTCAACTTCTTTATTATTAGGAACACAATGTTACGGAGTACATGCTTACTCCTTCATCGGGTGAGTGAGTGAGTGAGTTGGGTATAATGCCGCTTTTAACGGAATTCCAGTTATATCACGGCATGTCAGCTTCATGTGGGAGGAAAGCCCGAAGTGATGGAGGTCTCAGACGTTCAGCACTTCGGTGAAACCCACGAGCACGGGTATGGTGCTGACCTAGAAATATAATCGAGGCGAACCGGCATTCGAACCCACAATCATAGCTTTCTGGCGTACCCAAGGGACGCAACTCCGCACAGCGAATCGCGGCGCCTTAGACGACTTGGCCATTCGTGCCCCCTTTCATAGGGTGAATGAATGCCATGAGGCAGAGAGCATATATATGTTCATGCAATAAGATAACAAAAGGTGGAACCTAACAAGGGGTGGAAACTGACAAGGGAAGTCAACAGATAATCGGCGCTGATAGGTGATTAGCAATCGACAATGGAAGCCAACACTTTACAGTAATTCCCGCCGATACTATGACACCAGCACTAAAGTTATAGGTAATAGGCAATGGGCACTGGGCAAACGGGAGGCAGGGGATAATTGGCACTGATAGGTGAACGAATGGAAAGTATTTAAGAGTATATGTTCAAACACCAAAACGCACGCACACACTCATGTTTAATACGAAAGATAAATGATTAGTTTTTACAGTTAGATTCAAATCTTGTTTAGTGACACTTAAAGGAACCAAGCCCAAAGTAAACATATTTAGATTGGATGCAATTATTCAAAACCAGTTCCAGCTGTCAAAAATTAAAATAGTAAATGAATTAGTAGAGGTTTCCGGCGCTTTGAACAATGTTTCAGTTAAATGCATTCCAGTTCAATGTGGGTCAATCCCACACTGCCTCTTGAAATAAAGATTTATACACACCATCAGCAGCAGTTGATCCTTTCATGGTCCCTGCTAACACAAGAGCATATGCAAACGCCATCTGAAAAGAAGTATGTTAATTTATCTATCATTCAAATAAATAAAAGCGATAAAATCATTTCTGAAACCATAATGGTCCAATTTACAATTCCGACTATCATCATGATCACGTGTTTATGAATCGCTATCAAACAGTGATGACACCAGTTGCTTGCGAAGAGATGATCGTATCCTCCCCCACCGGTAGCACAAACTCTCGCAAAGGCAAATCATTTGTTCATCGAGAACATAAGTCAAAATGAGGGTATCATTAAACGTCATTTTTCTCCTCTAAGCAGTCAAATTTTGAGATGGCCTCCACATGTCCAGCAGAAAAACACTTTGTAACCCTCATAAAACAGCGTTTTAGCAAGAGTCTCCATTGTGGTGTGTCACTGAATGCTGTTAGAAACATGTGTTTATGAATTGAGAGTTTAAACAAATATAATTATGTGAATATGATATGTCGAGACTGAAATCACTTATTTACCCAACATGTGCATATTAAATATTAAAGTAAACAAGAAAGGGCATTTGGCTATTATATAAGTATTTATTGTCCTCTACCAAGTATTTGAAAAGTATGACAAAAGAAACGGACAGAAGACATTATTAGTCCGTGAATTCTTTTATTTGCCACAAGATAATCGCGACATACTGACGGTCTACTTCCAAATTCCTGGGGAAACACCTGGGTATTTCAGGAGCGTATACATACAGAAGCATTGTTTCTAAGTTTTGACACTTGAATTCAGCGTGTCTGATACATTAGAAAAAGAGTGACCGCTTGCATGATAGAATTTATCCACTCTTCGACCCATCCCAGTGAACAAGACGGAGAAATGCTCGAGACGAAGTCGACTCTATCTGTGCATACACTGCCAATGACAGTCAACAACATTCTACAGCAATCTAATTTACTTCAATATCTATTCGACACATCTTTATCCTTCAATCTTCGGTCAATTCATCAGTGATCACCATCACTTTTACGTACAGTTGTATCGATAATTTTAGATCCCCCTTCCCAGCCCATGCGACCACGTATACAGCTTTCATTAAAAATTCAAAGTAGAAGAATGGTTATAAATTCGGATTTTGATATGTCCCTTAACCTTTAGCCTGCTGAATTATTTTCACACTTCTTACCCCTGCCCGCTGGATTAATTTGTGCATAAGGCGCTCTAAAGAGGGTGGGTGATTTTCAAACAGTCGGAGATTCATTCATTCATAAGGGTCAATTGAAGAAAACTACCCTTTACCATTTAAAAAATATCCCGATGTTTTCAATCATACCAAGGTTAAGACCGAAGCGAACATAAAACTTGTACGTTTTCTTGAACTTACCTGAATTATTTTATTGAAGGTGGTTTGTGTTTTACGTAAGGAACCTGTTTAAATCGTCAAATTTGTGCAAATTTATTTCATTAATTATATCTCCGATTTCTGAATTTTAACTGAGTATAAATTCGATTTTTTTTTACGGAAAATAACAACGCGCTGGTAAATTATGAATCATTTCAGTAAATTAATTGTCCAAACGTAAACAAAAAAAACAACCTTAATTTTCGGATGAAATAAAAATATGACTTTGACGGATATAATTGGCATATTATTTAATCAGTTTGACCTTGCATGCTCCCGTGACCCGGAAACGGTAGACGATGAATCAACATTGCAAGTTTCTCGGTATCTTTTATTTGAACTTTTGTTTAAGAATGACCATGTTACGTTGAACGTACATGGATATGATTCATGTTTCTGCGACGTACACGCTGATATTTTTTTTCACAATAATAATTGTGCCCCACGCAATACGTCTCTGGATATCGAAGGGCGTGACAAAATGTTTGTTTCACAATAACATTTATGATTTTGATAGATATTCTCAACTGCATGATGCATATACTAAAACATATTAAAAAATATAAGCAATTTTAGTTATGCATAAAATTGGGGACATTTTAATGATTTTTTACTTTACTTTAATCTATAGCATAACTGAATTTTAAACAATTTCACATAACGTTTATAATTGATATTAGGCTGTATCAACACTTAAAATACCTCCTTGGTTGCAAATTGAAGATAGATTTATTAATGCTTAATTATTTGCACCTTGTAACATTTAATTGTTATAGTGTTATTTTTTCTTCTTTAATATGTCAGGCAAGGACTTTCCAGGTATATCATAGTGTATACTCAGGTGTCTCTGCCATTGATGCTCGAAGGGAGCATTTGAATAAGTCAGTATCTAGTACCATGAAATAATATTTTTCCATGAAACAAAGTATGTGCAAAAAGGTTAATTATGAAATACATAATAATAGAGAGAAACAGAAACACTATCATTAAAATATGTATATACATTTGATGGCATAAAATTGTTTTTATACATTTTTGCAAACAAATGATGGTTTTACAACAATAACTGTAAACAGTAACATGAACATGATGAATAACATATAATAGTACATGTTGGCTTTTAATAATGAAGACCTGGGTAGCATGTTATTCTATAATTAACTAATGAATGACACCTGTGGAGCACCATGTAATACTGCAGCTGCTTGTCTGCCAGGTCCACGCCTCCTATGTGCTGACTGTACAACTGAAATGCTTTTGGCTTTCTTACCTCCCTGAAGCAGTTTCGTGTAGCTTTTGATCTTACTCTTTTCAAAAAACGAGAACCATTATGAATACTGGTCAAGAGATTGACTTTTCTTTTATCTGTCCATGTGATGTACAGGAATTCATTTTCACGAAATAAATGCGGATCATCACCAGCCTTGGGTCGAGCATCCTTGACAGGCTGCGGTACATCCAGTCGGTAGGCCCTCAGTGTTCCACAAGCACCTGTCTGGTTGTCAGATAATTCCTGGAAAAGAGTGTGAGAAGTGAACAAATTGTCCATTTAGACATGATGACCCTTACCATACAGTGGTTTACATAATGACGTGACAACCTCGTAAGTCAAACCATGTGGTCTCCCTCCCTCCTCTCTCCCTGTATAAACCTGCCAGTTCCACATGTACCCGGTCCTGCTGTCTGCCAGACCCCATGACTTGATCCCCCACTTATGTGGCTTATTTGGCATGTATTGCAGCAAACATGTTCGACCCTTGTATGCTATCATACTTTCATCAACAGACCAGTACGATTCATAAGATGGCTTCTTGACAGGCCCATCACAAACAAGATAGAAATGAAAGCCCTCATTTCGGAGGTGTCAACATTTTTCCAATTATTCGCACGTGAATGTAATTTCAACGTGTCGATCTTATCGGCTAAAAATTGAACCGCATACCTGTTGGTTTCAGTGACAAGTAAATCAAACACTTCATCACTGAAAAAAAGTGAGAAAGCATCATACTCACTCAGATTTTCACCTATATTTCTAGGCCCCGAAGGGTCGACAAAATCTCGTAGCCACGGTGTTTCACTTGCTCTGACTGAAGGACTCTCCAAAATTTCTTCTTCAGCGTCTTCAATGTCCAAATTGTCCACTTCCTCCAAATTTAGATCATCGAACCCCAAAAATTTGCTATCACCCTCGCTGTCCGAATTTCCGAAAAAATCACGGAAATTTTCGATCGGAGAAGCCATTATGTAACTTCAAACGTTTTCTTGCGTACGAGCGGATCGCAAAATAACACAGTAAATATCAAGATGTCTATCAACCGTGACTACCTAGGTCAATCAAAAATAAACAAGTGAAGATGTTCAAAATAGATTATTACGTCATTTCCCTACTCTTTGGCGGGGAAACAGTATTCCGGAACTTTCTCGATGCCAACTCATATCTCGAGGCGGGTTTGTCCGCTTTCAGAAGGCGTGAATACAATTGCAAATATTTTATAATAATAAATAATAATATGTATGTACACCATATCTTGTTATTGCATCCTTTAGTCTTAATAATATCGCTTTCATCTTTTGTGTGTTATAACGTATTTTCATTTATTAACTGAGAAATTAGCTTATTGGTGGTCGTATTTCAACAAAACAAATCGCGAGTTATGCCACGCCCACACGTGTCACCTACGCTGGTCATCAGCTCAGCTGGACGCACGAAAGTTGTCTTACGAAACCTTTTACAAACTCGTCTTAATTAGATAGTTTGTTAAAAGACTGAAAAATGCATTGTTATAAAGAAAATTAAGTTAAATATTAAAAAAGGGCTGCTATGGTATTACGGGATCGCGGTACATGTCGAGTTGTTTGTTTACCACCGTTGCCATGATCGTGTTCGTCTCATCCAGTCGATGATGTAACGACCCAGATTGTTTTTGTTTATGATTAATTAAACCGAAACTTGCTAATTTTTACATATTAATGTACTTTAGTGTTTTTATTTCATAAAAGGACAACATACTTTGGCCAAATGAAAAAAAATATAACATTAAAAAGAAAATATCGGACTGCATGCTGTTCATCGTGAAGTGCATATGAGTCAACAATGTCCGTTACTCGTGGTTTTATGCCGAGTAATTTGTCCGATACCTTTTTTAACTCGCGGGATTTTCTATTTGAGGTAAATAAACTGCTAAAAGTTTTTATGTTTAACAAGCTAAGCATTTATGCATGTCAGACGTAATTTAAATGTTACGCAAAGCCTTCTTGGTAAATAGATATTGCGAGTTTTATTTTGAGCGTTATGCTCGTCGCCTGTCGAATGGGTTCGACATCAGATGCACGGGGAGTGACATCTCTGTCGAATGGGCTCGACGTTAGCGTGCAGAGCTTTAAACTACGTCGTCAGATAATTGCAATTTGTATAAATCCTGAAGCTTACCTCTATTATTTCAATTTCTATTATTTGCTATAAAACAAGATTTAGATCAAATATCTGGAAAAACAGTGTTATTAATACGTCTGTGCAGTGATAAGGTGTCATCTATGCGTGTTAGTGAACACAATATGCGAAGACTACCATAATCGAGTCTGGACCAGACAATCCGGTGATTGATATCATGAGCATCGATCCACGTTATTGAAATACGATGACATGCATGAATCAAA